AAATTCAAATGCCCGTCAATTGAATTTTTCCTGTCAAAGCAATCAAACTGTCAGCTTTCGTTGGCTCCTTTGACCTGTTGTTGCCATGTGAAACTGTGTGTTGGGAGAGCCTTTTGTGAAATGGCAAAAGCCAAATGGTTTTCCTTGCAGTGGCGAGTCAAGAGGATGAGGCCAGCATTTTGCCATAGCGTCACATTTCTATGAAGTGTGTCGCTCGCCCGAAAACAATAACGATTGTGGTGTCGAACACAGGCACGGATGGGGTCACCATCCCCCCAGGAGAGACCTTGCATTGCGGAAAGGCAGAGTCGTTTCCATCCTGACATCTGCGAAACGATCCAAAGCGATTTATTGGGGCATCGCGACAGCAGATTCGGTCATATAGCACAAACGATGCCTTTATTGCATCCAGAGCGCCCATATGTGTGCCACAGAGGACACAAGCACCAATATAGGATGCCATTATGTGCGGTCGGGACACCCCCGGCCTCCCGGAAGCTCAGCCCCGGACGGCAAAGTGAAATGATAAAATCAATTCGATTGAGGGCGCACACTGACAATGGCACATTAGTGGATACTCTCCTGCATGTAATGGGATTCCATGTTAAACATGCTCGTTAATTGGGAAATTATACGGAATGTCTCGCCTCCCCCTGGTCCATGCCGGTCCACCCTCTTTGGCCACTCGAGCTGGGCGAGGTTTTGGGGTTTTGCGGCAAATATCGCATTTCCCTTCTGCAAGTCACATAATTGACTCTTCGGACAGGAAATGCTCATCATAGAATGTCTATTGAAAATCAAGACAATTAAGTATTTAGTACAATATCCGACAAGAATCTGATCTTGCAAAGTGCTCAGCTAAACTGTCGAAGTGTTTGTGCCTTAAGGGTTAATTCAGTGAATTTGTAGCCTAAATGTAGGCTTTTTGTGCTATTTTGAATTGAAATCCGAGTGCGAATCAAACGATCACTGCGATTGTTGCTCAACAAATCTTCCTGCATTACATAACTGAATTCTATAGCTGCGGCAGCAATTTATCTCCGAGCAATATCGCTAGTGACTTTCCCGTCGAGAGGATCGACAAAACTGACATTTCAGTGATGAAAATGCAAGCATTATGCTGCGCATCGTTATATTATGCAAATTCTCCGTGATCTCTGAGCACTTTCCACTGTCAAATCTCGTGTCGAAAGCAATTCCGCCCGGCAAAGTGGTCAACAAAGTGGTCGCTGAGGGACTCTTGCGAGCGTCTCTTGGTGCCTCATCAGTCGCAAGCGTGGTGTTGTGTCGCTTCATAACTCTTTCAGGGCGAAATGTTGCCCGAGAGTGAGTGAATTATATGCGGAGAGACAGTAAATCATGAGGCCGCCATCGCAAATTTCTGCACCATCTCGTCCGTTCTTGGCGGGAAAATTGTGGGAAAAGGCAGAGTGGAAATCCTCGAAATGCAGCAGATAGTAAATTCATCCGGAGTGTGGGGCGCAATTTACGGCCCGTCTTCCGAGGGTTGATAAATTCTACACGGCGCAGACGATGTTAGGGGAGCCGAGGGCCGCTCTAAGGCTGTCGACTGTCCTCACACTGACGTGTGGCTCTTCACAAGTTGCGCGGTTTAACCTGCGAGAGGTTAAATCCCTTTGTGCATTTATGAGATTTTAATACAAGCCACACATACACGATTGTCAGGGCGCGCGAGGCCATCCCCGAGTGGCAACACAATAAATCTCAGCTGCCACGCCGCCCCCCGAAATGAAATTGCACACGATGACGCGCAGGCCGGGCGGAAAAAAGGAGCCACATCCCCGAGATTCGAGCACCGGCAGTCTCTTCCCGCGAAAATTGCATGTCGAGACCAAGTTTGAGTCATAAATTACAAAGCCACGACGCGCCGGAGATATTATTGCATGTCGGGGGATGTGGCACAGTTGACATTCTCCCCGCGCCCCCACTTCCGGTCCCGGGGTCATAAACTACTCCGTGTCACTGCCTGACACCCCGGCATTTTATAAGCTTCAAAAATTCATCTTGAGGCACTCGCAAGAAGCTTTCAGCTGCCTTTTCGCTTGATTTGTGGCGCCTCTTGCATGGCTGCTTTCGAGGGTTTCTGACCGCAAAAAAGGTGCGAAATCCACGTATTGCAGACTTCAGCACCAATATGTGTAGATAGGCTAATTGAATTGAATTAAAAAAAAAAATTTCGTAAACTTCACATATTATAATGTGAATTTTTCATAAATTAACATAAATATTCACATAATTCACTTTGTATTAATTTAAATGCGTAGTTACAGTTGTGTTAGAATAAATTTTTCGTTCTTTCTTTCGATAAGAAATATATATACAAAATATAAATTACTACAAAATATAATATTTTGGAACAATATAGCTAGAGAACTTTATCGAATCAACACAAAATTTTCCACAAATGTGACTCAAATTTCCTTCAAAGAAGGGTTTATGAAATAATTTGAAATGCAAAATCTCACAACTGGGGTGAGATTTTTCTGCAAATTCGTTTCTTAAGACCCTGAAATGTTCTGCAAATCATTGGCCAAGGCAACGAAAGGAGAAATTGTGTGCACACACATATTGTTTGGTTAGAAACCTCACACAACGTTAACATCCAACTTTCAGAGCTATTGAATGATTATCCCCGCGAATATTTGTCATTTTCACATGCCCTCCACCTCTGGCGACCGCCCATTGTGTCCCTTGACTTTGTTTTTCTCTGTATCATGTCGTATTTTGTGTGATAAAATTTAATGCAGTAATTTGTCTTCCGTCCTACATATAAATTCTTTTTAGTCTGTGCCACTGTGCGTCGGTTCCGCCGCGGTGGCAAACTTTTCTGTCGCGAAAGTGCTATAATTCTTGCGCCAAAAGAGATTCATTTTGGTGTAATGCGAGGCAATTTGTTAAACAGTAGAGAAAAGTCATAAATAATCGGGGCGTCGGGCGTTTTGGGGTGGAGAGAGAGTGAGAGTGAGAGGGAGAGAGTGTGTTTGCTGGGAGTCATTCATTTACCCACCATTTGTGGACGCTACACTCTTTTCCAGATCCTCTTTCGCTCCGCGCGGAAAACAGACGAGTGAAAAATAATTTTCTTTCACTCACTCGGCAAAATATGGTCCGGCTATAAATTAGCGCGAAATCGAATTAAATGGTATTTCGCATTTGTCTTGCCAGAGACTCTCGCCCCTTCCGGTTACACTTGAGACACACAGTTCAGCTCAGAATCCCCGGACTTTTGAGACTGACGAAAGGGGGAGAAAGTCTGTTGTTTGCAGACTTTCCGGTTGTGGCCAAAGAACGGAGGGATTGTCCCTTTCTTTGGACTCGTCTCGGTGACTTTCCAAATATCAACAATTGCATTTCACAGACAGGAGACAATGTGGGGGTGATAAACAATACAAATAATCCTTAAGGAGGATTCGCCCGCATTTCATTTGCCAAAGGCCACAAACAATCTCACAAGATTTTGTTTCGCAATTCCAAAATGGAATCATTCATTTTAATTACGCATTTCGCACACTGAATAATAACTTCCATAGAAAATCCACCCATTTCTCACACTCAAATTACCTCAATTCCATTCGATTTCCCATTCAAAGGAGAATATCTCTATCTTTTGCCTAAGATGCGAAGTCTGTGAAGCTCTCGGGGATGGTAAAAATGGCACAAAGGTGCGTGCGAATGACGTCGACATAAATAGAAATTAAGTTATTTTGGCGAAACAAAAGGGGCACAAAACCGTTTCTCGCTCACAAAATCCCATTTTCCACTCAAATGACTTTACATTTGAGCAAATGCGTTGATACGGTTTAAAGTTTTCTGATGTGAGAGAACATCAGGCACAGCGCAAAGTGGGATTGTAAGTTTTGTTGAGGCGGCTCGAAAGGGTGGAAAATCTTTTGGGCTAGGAAAACTATATTTGCATTACGTTTCCTTTGATCCTCTCCTCTGGAGAGAAGGAAAGAATTCCTTCGAATCACTGAATTTTTGGAATGTTCCTTGATGTGTCGAGAAAACTCCCCATTTTCCCGGGTTTGCGCATTGGATGGGAAAGCTTCACCACGGATGAGCTTTTTGTGAGAATTTATGATGCTGCTGGAGAAGAAAGTGACTCATATCTCGGGCTCAAAGTAAAGTAAACTTTCTGAAGTAGGCACACAATCCACTTTTTTCTCACCCACAATCCGCTTTCGAGTCTCGGACGACGGTTTATCGTCGCGCCTTATACTAAACACTCGACTAAACATGGAGATAAGCGATTCAGCAGACGAGCTTAGGTCAATGAAAGGGTGACTTTTCGGCAGGACCTTTCGTAGGTTTGATGAGCAACACTTTGTGGAGCATGAAATCATCAAAATATAGGCCATTAATAGCTTAATTCTTATCAGATTCTCTTATTGTCACGTCCCCATTCGCCATTCATCACGTAGACAAGAGTCTTTATCGCGATCTTATCACGATCATTAATTTAGGGATCTCGATGCCGGAAGTATCAGTGATCTCCTCTCAATCCTTGATCCACTAACTTCACGCTGCTGATCTTGATTTCAGGGTTTGTTTTTGGTGTTTGACTAGTCGTGATCTTGATTGAGTTGCAGCTGTTATCAGCTGCATATAAGAGTCGTCTTATCTCTCAGCATCCGAAGATGCAGCCCAGCTCCTAAATCAAGCGCCTAAACGTGGTGTGATATCAATATAGTTGTCTCAGACCGCGTGTAAGCCAACAAGAGAGAATCAAGTCTTCCCATATCTATAATTTAGTGATGTTTGAACAGCGTCTGTTGAAATTGTTGAAATGAAATTCACATTTTGGCGTTGATGAGTGGTTGAAAGAAAGCAAAGCCTCACTTGAAGTTGCCTGTGACGATCGTGCACGCGTATTTTTTCTTGCCGGGATCGCGTCTCAAAGAGTGAGGATTAGTGGTTGTTGGCTTAAGCGAGATAAAATCGCCCCGAGAGTGCATTTCAATTAATCCAAAATGTTGGCGCTGTTTTATTACACGCTCGACTTTCCCGTGGAGATGACCTGGCGCGTCTTCTACCAGTTCTACGCCTGCTTCTGCGGTAAAGATCACTGCTCTCCGTCTTAATCGCCCAAAAGTGAAGTGCTTCTTTTCTCCTCCCCAAAAGCGAATTGCGTGGGCATCATCTATGGCATCACAATCGGCTGGGCGAGCCCCAGCATTCCGCTCCTGCAGTCCAGCGAGTCTCCGCTGCTGAGCGGGCCGATCACGGAGGAGGAGGGCTCGTGGATCAACTCGATCATGTGCGTGGGCGGCCTCTTCGGGACGCTCTTCTTCGGCTGGATGGGCGACTATTTCGGCAGGAAGTGGTCCCTGTATCTCGTCTCCATGCCCCAGATCGCCTCCTACCTCCTCATCCTCATCGCCCTGGACGTTGAGTATCTGTACGTGTCGCGATTCCTCAGTGGATTCGGTGGCGGAGGAGTTTTCGTCCTCGTTCCGCTCTTCGTCACCGAGATCGCTGAGGATCACATCCGCGGAACTCTAGGCGCCTGCCTCATTTTGGTGGTGAATCTGGGAGTGTTGGTTGGATTGGCCATCAGTGGTTACTTAGACTTCTTCATCGTTCCTCTCGTTCCCATCGCCATTCTCCTGGTCTTCCTCCTTCTCTTCCAATTCCTCCCGGAAACCCCGCAATATCTGCTGATGCGGAAGCGCAAAGAGGAAGCCGAGACGTCTTTCCGGTTCTACAGAGGGTTCAGGAAGAGTACTGAAGATCTGCCTGAAAAGTATCAGAAAGAATTTGCAGCTCTGCAGAAGATCTACGACGGACTAGCGCAGCAAAGCAGCAACCAGGGAATCCAGAAGAAGGATTTCGGTAAGCAAATGACGACTTGGAGGGATTTTGAGGTAATTTCCTTTGCTATTCCAGCTCCAAAGTCCACAAAACTCGGCATGATCATCAGTTTCACGCTCATCTGTCTGGCCTGCTTCTGCGGCACCTTCACTCTCATCAGCTACGCAGCAGACATCTTCCACAACGCCGGCTCCAGCGTGTCCCCCAATGACGCCGCCCTCGTCGTCGGAGCAATCCAGGTCGCTGGAAGCTGTCTATCCTATCTCCTCGTCGACCGAGTGGGCAGACGAATCCTCCTGATGGGATCTGCCCTGAGCACTGGCATCCTGCACTCCGTCATGGGCGCCTACGTGTTCCTGGCGTCCAGAGGTCACAATCTCGAGGGATTTGAGTGGATTCCGGTGGTCTCTCTTTCAGGAGTAATGCTGGTCTCCGCCATAGGAATGGTGGCTCTTCCCTATCCCGTAATGGCGGAAATCATTCCCACGAAGTTGCGCGGACTCGTCGTGAGCATAGGATCGTCAATATCATGGACGTTGTCCTTTCTGTTGGTCAAGTACTTTGGATACTTCCTCCAGGTCATTCAGCTCTATGGATGCGTGGGTTTTTTCGCTTCCTGCTGCTTCTTTGAGGTGCTTTTCGTCGCAATTGTGCTGCCGGAGACAAAAGGGAAGAATTTTGAAGAGATTGTGAACCTTCTGTCCAGATGAAAGTCCCTGAAAATTGAATTTATGTAATATAAAGAATCTCACCGTATACAGAATAAAATGAACGGAAAAGCGTTTTCAAAAATCATCAAATGTGTATTGGCTAAAATGGTGCACAACTTGCGCCATCTGTGTGGATTTCCCGGTAGAACATTTGCAAAGTTTCTCAGGCGTCCAAACATAACCCTAATTAGTAGAGAAGTTGTGTGTTTTTCAAGCGGCATTTGTCTTGTGTTTTCCCTATTTTCTTGTGCGTTTTCCGCCGCAAAACCCACTCACAATGTCGTATTCAACGTCCATAAAGCAAATTTTCTCAAAAAATGTGCGATACAAGATTGATTTGATGGAGTGGAACAATAAAATGGACCTCATTGCACTAAGTCAAAACAGTGAGTTTTCTTGCTTGTTTATCGAAACTTGTAGCACAATTTCATGCTTTTTCCTCTGCAGATGAAGTCCTGATTCATCGTCTCAATTGGCAGAACATCTGGACGCATCCATCTCCTGGGGATTCATCAAAGGTCAAAGGGATTTGCTGGTGTCCGGATGAAAAAATCATTGCCATAGGTTTGCTCATTTCTCCTTCAACAGATGGGAAAGAGACTGAAGGAAATGTTTTATTTTCAGGTTACAGTTCTGGAAAAGTAATTCTCCTTGATGTGGAGAGTAAGGAGGAAATCTTCAGTTTTCAACTGGACGGCGACATAGTTTCCATGTGCTGGACTCAACAGCACATCAAACCCACGTCCGGGAGTGATCCAGATATCACCGTGGAGCCAGATGATGACGGAGTTTTCCTTCCGCGATTGCCCAGCTTGAACAATGTCAGTCCCACATCCAAGAAGAGGGAATATGTGAGCCGAGCAGAGGCGAAAACATCCCTAAACTTCCTGATTGTGGGTCTCCGGACAGGATTTGTTCATCTCTCGGTCTTTGGAATGCTGCCTTGTGGCACAGTGTGTCTGGGGAAGCACATAAAGGGTGAGTTTAGGGTGATTGACGCTCGTGTGAGCTCGGATTTTGGCTTCCTGCACGTCACTGTGGCCACTCACGAGGCTCTGCACGAGATGATCTTCGAGAACAGCGCACTGCCACAGCTTCTAGACTCGCTATTGCGAGTGGCAACGAAGCACGGCCAGATATTGACAACCATGTCGTACATTGAGGACGTCATGATGGGGATTAGAGAGGCCTGGGAGACAGTTCTACTGGAAATGGACAACAAACTCACCGGCTACTCGAATCTCTGCCCCAAAGGCTCAGTTTCGGCGGATTTCCTCGAATTGCTGGTCCTGGGAACGCCCACACCCACGTTGGAGACCTTCTTGAGGCGGGAATTGCCGGAAAAGGGGCTTAAGAGATTAGGAAATTCCATCGAGATGAGCTACTCTACCATCCAGAAGCTCCTGGTGCAGCCTCTGGACACCGCCATTATGGCGATTTGCTACCATCTGAACAGCGTGCGAGGCATGAGTCGCGACAAGTACCACTTCGACGGGCTGCTGACGGAGGACGTGGTCACTGAGGCGTGCCACAAGGCCGGACAGTTTATGATGAAGGCCTTTGAGCTGCAGCAGACAATCGATCAGTCCACGAGGGACTACAAGATCTTCTTCCGGTGGCTGTACGTCGTCATTATTCAGCTGATGAACGAAAGAGTGCCAGAAGATGTGGCTTCGATAACTCAGCAAGAGATAAACTACTTGGCAGAGTTCCTCAGCAATCTGGACGACGATGAGGACGGCGAGAGCATCACTAGTGAGCGGAAGTTCAATCTAGAGCGTGTTGGGCAGTATCTGGAGGACAGGGACTTGATAGTGCTGCCCAAGAAGGGTTCCCTTTCGCAATGGGAAGCATTCTTGGATGAGAATCCAACACTGAAAGACAGTGAGACGATTTACAAGCACGACCGACAGGCGTCCCTTGTCCAGGTGCACAACAGACTCCGTCAGGCGGTGGAGAATGTCTTCAGACAGCCGGAGAGCATTATTGGGCAGAACTACAAGCTGAGGAATGTGATTCAGTTGGCTGAGAACATGGACAATCCCGTGCATTGCACGCATATCAGTCTCTCCGACGGCTCTGGGGATCTCTTCGCCTTCCTGGTGTCTGAGAATCTGCTGATCTTCCTGGAGGCCGACAAGAATCACATGATCAAGTGTCTTCGGCTGGAGTTCCAGACCAAGCCCTACTTCGACACGAAGTACGGCCAGTTTGGCGACTTGTCCTTCCGGCATCTGCAGTTCTACAGCGAGAACATCTTGTCGCTGCTGCTGAACAATCGCACGGACGCGGAGTGCGGAGGATGCTTCGTGCAGATGCCGGTGGTGATTCTGCGGCAGAAGGCCACTTTGGTGGACGTGGCGGAGTTCATTGATGTCTCAGCGGCGGGGAATGTTATGAATCTCTACACACTCCTAGACGTGAACTACGTGAAGGTGATTGAGGGCAGTGATTGGCACACGATCGCTGTGTCCGGGAACAGAAAAGTCACGTCAATTTTATCTGAGAATGGGAAGAAGATCAAGATCTATGAGACAGAGGCTGCAGATGAGGATGAGGATGAAATGGATTTGTCCCAGAGCACAAATATGGACAATAGCAAGGAATCCAATCAGTAAATATATTCCAATTAATCTAACATTTTCACTTTCAGCATTCAATTTTAACTGCTCTTATTGTCCATATGTGGCTTTCGAAATTTCTCCTGAGAAGCAACTAAAAAGGTAAATTGGCTCAGAACCAACATTGACAGAACTTTATGTGCTGCCTGAGAGAAATGAAAACTATTATTTCATCACTGTTGATGAAATATTGGACCAGAGTAAATATTTACTCTCACGGTGAATTGATGCAATTTTCTTGAAAGCTTCATCTCATTGCATCTCTGTGCTGTGGAGTCAAATTAAAGTCCAGTGGAAATCACTGTAGGGAAAGAAAATGCGTGTATTTTCCATATCTTTCAATTGCCTGAAAAAAAAAATCTTCGGGAGTTTATCGATAAATGGGGCGAGAAATTCTTTTTTCCCATCTCAACAACACTCCATTCGGTAGATTATAACTTCCGCGCGATACGGATCTCTCGGCGAGTTGTTCATCTTTTCCAGATTGGCGAGAGGGGAGAGAGATTTAAGTTGAAACTCAATTATTAGTGGATTTTCCCGGGTGTTCATCTCGAATGGAGGGATAACATGATTCCCGTAGACGCCACAATAAGTGGAAGTTGAACTGATAACAAAGTGAATGAGGCACATCGTGTTGTTTGATAACTCTCGCAGAAGACATGGAATGAGGGAGACGAACATGGATCTGAACAGTGTGAACATGGCAAGTTTATGTATTAGCTCAAGTTTGGCGGCAAAAGTGGGAGTGCGAGTGTGATTTTAAAATCCATTTAAATATTTTGCAACTCCTCTTGATCGAATTGACTCGATTTGGCGCCCTCCAGGTATACTCTGTCAATTGGATTCTCGGGGCGTGAGAGAGTGCGGAAAAATTCCACCGGGGACGCCATGGATTGTGTGCTCCACTGTCATTTCGCTGCGCGTCTCCTGGCATCGTTTACTGTACGAGCATCTTCCTGCTGTGCACGAGTAGCTATTACTTTTTATTACTCCAAAGCCCTGTTAGTGTAATGTGTCTGTTTATTTGTGCACCTCTGCCATCGCCATCCGCACCACAGCTTCCCCAATCCGGAGACGCCGAAGGCTTTCCCACCCAAGTCACGTCCGAGGACAGTTTAAAGGACTCATGCGGATGAACCAATTGAAAGTCAGACTCGCATTGAGTTTTAACCAGAATTCTCCATTCGATCACACTGTGTTTTCACATCATCTGCATTCTGGCTGCTGTAATTGTCTGATTTTGCTCAAAGCATAACGAAAAGGGTCATATATTTGTGTCAAAAATACGATCATCTGCCAAACAAACTATCAGAAATTTGCTAAAAAAAAAACAGATAACAAATTCATCTGCAGTCTTCATTCTCTAGTGCTTCCATAATACAAATCTTCTTTTCACGCTCTTCCGTTCTTGCTTTTTCCAATAGATTTCCTGTGAAGTATTTGCCGGAGAATAGTGAATTTCAGCAGAGCAGGTGAATTTTGCATTAATCCTCTTCCTCTAAATTATCGCCAACACCTTTGAATGGGCTCAAAAGCACATGAAGAGCGTCATGTTGTCACTTGAGAGCACACCTTTTGAGAAGCTGTGATAGATGCAATGGAGGCGAGATGTGAATGGGGATGTTCAGGCGATATTATGTAGAGGGGCATTATGTGGAGTTGTGAATTGGGTGGGTGTCGTTAGGCATATGAACAAAAAGGAGCTTTATGATGCAACTTGCCGTAATAAGTTTAACCAGACTATATTGAGCTTTTAATTAGTTTATGCGAATAGCCGTAAGAGTTCCACCTTTTTGCCTTTGATGGTTGTTTTTGAGTTGTGCGAAGGGAAACTTCCCGTCGTGACACTGTTGCTGTGTCGGCGTGCGTGCTGGAGGAGATGGCAGGGGGTGGGTGGGCTGAGGAAGTGGGTGGAAAGTGAGGAAAATGGACGGCCGACAAGAGATAAAATGTGTCCAGTGCACTCACTGTGGAAAAACTTTATATCTTTCATGGTGAATTAAGCATCACGCCGTGGGTGGAAAATATCTGTCGGCGCATTGGGTGGCTCTATCCTCTGCTCCGCATTCTCGGGACGTGTGCAGATGCGGGGAGGGGAGGAGGGGGAGACGGAATTTTCGGGATAGTCTAGCGGTCATGTCGGAAAAAATGTGACCACAATAAATTACAATGAATGCACATCTCGTATCCCTTTCGTTCTCACACCATTGCGCCTTTTTCCACGAATGCCCCCAAATAATGCAAAAATCCTGTGATGGGCGAAAATTCTGACCATTTTTTTTTATACTCTGACGCGCATTTTGCCGCCTCCGCCAAATGGGGTAAATTCACAAATTCATCGCAAACATCGTCAGAGAAATTATTTATGATTTCACTTTGTCCTCTCGCAATGAACAGGAACCTTTGCTGAATGGCCGGGGAGAGATTTCTCTATTGAGAATCTCCACACTTCTCTCGCCATCCTGCGAAATTTGTCCAGCAACAAGAATGGATGTTCTCTCAACCTAAACAGAGTTGAATTATGTGTGATGGCGAAGGGATTGTGAAATATATGTGTGCGTAATTCCGATATGCTTCCATTGCGGAGAGAGAAGTGCGGTTGAACTTACTGTGAAAGCATCGATCTGGAATCTCTTGCTTAGCAGTTCATAAGAGTGCGGAAACCTCATTCATCTGCCATGCTGCAGGTTTAACAAATCAACTCTGCTTTTCGGGGGGTGTTTTAAATAATTTACACTAGCTGTGGCCAAATGGGTGTGTCATAAATCAAAAGTGTAGAGCTCACCAGGCGAATTTGTTTAATACTCTCACCCAGTGAGATCTTTTCCCCCCGAAAATTGAGACAAAATTCCTCACTTTCCATAAATTCCATGGGCGTCCGCGCCAAAATGGAATCCACCCGATAAACCACCGAATAATTTTGTCGCGTATTTATTGGAAAACAAAGAACCAACGGGTGGTGGTGTGAAAAATCGCTCTGCTGAACAGAGAGAGAGCGAGAAATGGGAGAAGTAGTATTTTTCCCCCTCACGGGAGAATAAAATGTGCATCGCCTGTAAATTATTGAGATTCATGTGAAAAGAGTTTAAATGCTTTTTCGATTTGTCAATTTTCATTAGAGGATTTGCCATGGAGCGTACAGATTTTTTTCCGTCGGGAATTTTTGGGGGCTGCATTTTTCCCAATTAAGCCTCATGATGAATGTCATGTAGTGGTCTTTTTTTTCACACAAACCACGCGCGTTCCAACTTCGGGGGAATTTTCGCCCAATTCTCATAAATCATGACGTCAATCAATTCATTCTCTCCGCAATATTGGCGCGGAAGAGGGGGGCTTTTCAGGCACGCATTTGCAATCTACAGGCTTTTGCCTGATGCGTGTAGAGAGACTCTCCATTGTCCTCGCAGTTACAATGCAGAGAGTTGTACTGCGGGCAAAAAAGACACAATTTGTGCTGCGTGGTGGGGGAGATTTTGAGAAAACCACCCCCAAAACCACAGAGGCATATTCCATGGGTGAAAATTGAGGCTATAATTGCTAAGAAGACTCCGGGGTAGGGCCTTTTATTCCCCGCAGTGTGTTTATTATCGAGTTGCGATGTTTCTGGGGCCTCCCCAAAAGTAAATTTGCCATAAAGAGCTTTGTCGCCAATTTGTAAAAGCGTCCAATGGGGGATGCCAGGGCGTGTGGGTGGGCAGAAAGGGGGGGTGGGAGGAGAGAAATGTGCATTGTTGTAATATTTAAAGGGGAATGAATATTCTGTGAGTCTCTCCATCTTTCCACTCGCCCATCCCACGGCCGGACCGTTGAAGTCAAATGGAGTTCTTCGCCCGGACACACAATCTGAGCTGTAGTGGCCCTACATTAATTTTGCCGGATTATATGACCGTTATTTTCTCTGCTACACGAGTAAACAGACACCGAAATATAGTTACAGGGTACATACACTTAATGTTTTGCTTTACAAATGGTCTGAAGAAGTTTGCGCTGCCCGGAAGCCCCACCACTGAACTCTTGCTCGCATACATATGGAAAGTGACCGAAGCCCTGCGGCGGCAAGACAGAAAAAGCCGAAGAGCGTGAGCAATCCTGTCTTTCTCTCTGCTGCTGCCGAGCTTAATGGAGTTATTTGATCCTTGAATTTATTCCATAATGCGGTGTGAATCGCTATAGTAGCTCTTTTCTGTCCTATTGCGCCAATGCCGTCCGGTGAGTGGATCCTTAAGGAAGAACAATGAGCATTTGGGCGAAAGTGATTCGGTCGCAAATGAAAATTCCTGTGCAACACTTGAGCAACTGCAAGAGTGCTTCTCGCTGCCGAGGTCCTCATGTGGAGGCTACTTTGGAGCTCGATTTTTCAATTGGGAATTAAGGCGAGAGTCTTTGAGTGCTGCACTCGACACTGTTGCACTCCGCAGGTGTGCCATTCACTGGCCGGAAGGATGCCGGGAAGTCACCGTGAGTCAATTTATCTCGTCGAGTGACACAGAGTGTGGAGAAGCCTTTATCACTGTCGAGTGCATTACTCAATTGGTCCTTCTGCTCCTTGTCTGCTGCTCGGCATCCGTGACGCTGGCTCCAAGGAGTGGGGATTTGTATGGGGAATTAGTTTTATTTAAACTACAATATTCACAGCACGGGCAATTTATTTTCACGACAACAAATGTAATGTGGTGCTGCTTTGTTTTCCTCCCGCTGCCACGCGATGAAATGGGGTGGTGTGGGTGGAGAGCTAAGAAAATGAAAACATCTTTACACATAGTTAATTAATTTTCATTTAATTAATTAACTTATCGTACCCCTGAAGACCTTTGCTAGTAATTAATGATTGTGTTTTTTTTTCTACACTTCTTTCCTCTCTGGGATGATGTTTCGGCTTAATGGTTTTGGCGCTTACAGATTTTCTCCTGTGATGACTCAAGATGCCTGATTTGGCCCCAGGGATCACCGACAAGAAGGTGAGGAACCTGCAAGAAAATCATAACTTCATGTCGGAGGAGAGA